AGTATGAAGGGTTTCTTGATCTGGGATTTATGGAAATAGTTGTTGTTCTTTTAAGTGTTTTTTACCCTGATTCATATTTTAAGGGGGAGATTCCTCAATGAACTAACAGCGACATAGAGTTTGATGACGAACAACTCAATCCTAGAAAGAGGAAGGCTTCTTTCTCAGGGAGAGCCAATGATGCTGAAGCTGGAAGTTCTTCTGCCGTTGGTGGTTCTTCATCCGCTGGTGATTCTTCAGCCCCTCCTCCTAAGAGATGTAAGCTGTCAGTTGACTTGAATGATTTAGCTGCAGAATGGAGAATGAATGTTGATGAAGTACGAGAAATTATGTTGGAGAATAATGCCGCAAATAGAAAAAGAAAAGAGGAACGACAATCTAACAGACTTGCTCAGCTCCTTGCTTCAGCTGATGCTCAACAGACCAACACTCAGCGTTTTAATGTTGATGTAGCAAAAAGAAACAGATTATCTGAACTGAATTATCGAACCAACCTGAAGAAATTTGGGAATGTTCTTGGAAGAAGATACCAACCTGATCCCATCATCAAAGTCAGATGTACTAAACCCAAAAAAGAGTCTTTGAAGTTGCATCAGGTGAGAAAGAAGGTTGAGTATGAATACACTGAAGTCATATTTTCTCATGAATTGGTTAAATATGGCTACAGCGAGTGGATACCAATTCAGCATATAATCTCTAAACACAAAGGTATTCATGCTCAGGAGGTAAAGCTGGCCATTCAGACCCTGATCAACAAGGTTAAGAAACTAAAATTAGTTCCTTCAGTTGGTCCATCCTAACCATCCACTTCAGAAAGAACTAATAGGCCCATAATGTCAAAATACACTAAGTTTCTTCTTCTGTATGGCACTCGCTACATCAACAACAAGCTGCCAGTGGGCGTTGAGCCAGATCAACACATGTTCATCTTTGAACCAGAACATGGTAATTTTTATCTTGACAACCAGAACCAAATGTGCTTTCAACGCACTGAAGACCTTCCTAATGCTCCCACACAGCATTTGTTCAATCTTCGTCTGGAAGGAATGCGACATAAAGAGCTGGAAAGAGGATATCGTGTGCTAATTTCTTTTTAACTCTACAATCATCTAACTGATCTTCATCTTGATGACTTCAATGGTTAAAGCCTGAGATATGGACTGAAGCTAAAAAATTCTCAAATAATGACCTTGATGAATTCTTTGAAGATTAGCTTTGAAATCATCAAATAGGGGGGGATTATAAGGTCGCACCTTATGATCTGATGAGTCAAACACTTTATACGCTGACCACCAGCGCTAGCGCCAACACCAACATCAACGTCAGCGCCTCAAGATCTTATAAGCATCAGCGTGAAGATAATAATCTTATGTAATCTTTGTATATTAGGCAGTTATACGGATATGTATAAAATAGATAGCAGATCCGATATCTTGATGATAAGGATCTGTTTATATGTATATTAGATAAAATTCCTTTATTGAAGGGATATACTAGTATAGTTTAGTATATATTCAACATTAGGGTGAAACCCTAATGTATGTCTTTGTGACCGTCTTTATGACCTTCGTTCTCTTGGTGAGATACATCTTTGTGATTAACTCGTGTTCTTTACTTTTTTTATTCTTTATTTTTCTTAGTTAGTTTGTTCTTTGTTAATTATACTTGAAGTGTATCCGATCGATACAAACCTTTAATTACCTTAATTGTTAATTAGGGTGTATTTTGTGCATGTTTAACATGAGGAGATTTTATATCATCAACTCCAGTGCGTGAGTTATCTTGTCTTCAGATTAAGGTGAGTTTTCTCATTATACTATGTAGGACACTATGTGTCGTATATGCTTGTTGTCTTTGTGACTCTTGCTGCTATGTTGCATGAAAGTCCATGAGGAAGGCCATGGCAATTACATGAGTGTTGTAAGACTACGTATTTTGCATGTAGCATTCACTTGGGATGAAATAGGCTTGTTGGTTGAAATAGGTTGTTATAGGAGTGATTGCAAGTCTATGATTTGGCCCATAGCCTTCACTTGGGATGAAGTAGGCCCGATGTCTAAAATAGGTCATGCTGCATGTTATGGTTATGTATGGTACGTGGTATTTTGGCGAACTCGCTACGCTTTGTGTGACAACTGGGAAAATTCGTCACTGACCACCGTAAAAAATTAATACAGACAAATAAATGTAATAGAGTATCAATGTAATATGTGATTTTATGAATAAATATGATTGAGTATACTCTTACATATAAAGATAATCGACTTATAGGCTCAAAAATGAGTGTCCAAAAAGTCGTACCGTCTTATAAACTGGTTAACATATTCGGAAAGTACATGACGACGTGATTCCAAGGGTATAAGCTTCATAAAAATCTAACTTCTATTGCAGGAGTTATGATTTTTGTAAAAGTAAAATCAACCGCGTAAATAAAGTTATTAACGTCAAAATGTCACTAGGAGATTGGTTAGGTTTTGGCTAGTGTCACCAAAAGGAAAGTCGTAGTACTTCTCGAGGTGAGAACGTTAAGACAAAGAATGCCGAAAATGGAGTCCGTATGAGGAAGATATGGTTTTTATAAAATCATTTAATTATACCTCCGTTAGACCAAAAGATGAAAGTCAAAACTAGCCAAAACAACCTAAAGATAAGTTGTAGTACTTGTCAAGATCATCGCATAAATATAAAGAGGGTAAACATCAGAGCTCGTACACAAGAGATATGAAGTTTTCCAAAATCATTTATGTGTGCGTGTCATGCGCGCCATGCACGGCATGCACTCTGACACTTGATTTGAGTATATTGTAGGTGACGTGGACCAGCAAGATAATGACATGCGCCGACTCCCGAATGGAGCCACGATACTCATGCACGATGCGCACAAATATTTGTGTGGTGTGCACTTCAAAAACTTGCTATAAATAGAAGTGTTTGCAAAACCATTTATGCACGCCTCTTAAGAATCTCCCTCTCTCTCTCTATGATCAAAGCCAACCATCCCGAGGCAGTCTCTGAAGTTCCGAGTCCCAGATATACCCTACTTCAACAAATCACGCTACTAGGGTGAGTTCATGACCCCACTTTTATTTTTTTAAATGTTTTATGGGGGGGGATACATGTTATAAAACAATATCAATGATTTTATAAAAATGTTATTATTTGTAATATATCAATAGTTTATACAAGACATGAAACGTTAGGATAATATTATGTCTGGTAGTTACCATGCCTAAACTTTAAGAATGATATTATACCTAGTCGTTATAATGCCTAAAACTACACGGGAAGATTATACCTAGTTGTTATGTTAGCCAATGCCCTAGGGTAACATAGTACCTAGTCGTTATGCTGGCCAAACTTAAGGATAAACATTGTACTTAGCTGTTACTCTGTCCTAATATCTTATTAAAGAATATCAATACAAAGATAATATATATATATATATATATATATATATATATATATATGGTTAAGTATATATACGTATCAGTATAATTATGTAAGATGATCATATTAAAGGAAAAGTAAAGGGAAGAATAATAAGATAAATAATTAGACTTTAAAAGTTAAACAAAACAGTTGTTAAATTAGTATCAATATTCATCCATTAGTCGATTAAGTTCAGCTAACCTCGGGCCTATAATCATTAATCTTAAGTAAGCATGGAAGATATGTATAGATCTATACGGGGCTGACACCCCTACCTGCGGTTGCTAGCTACAACCCCGTCATGCATAACTTTCTAGTATTTTATCATTTCGATGTCCGATGAAGCATCCTAGCGGGGCAAATATCAAGTCAATAGCTCGATTATTGGAACTCATTGTAACATTTTCCATCAAACTTTATTAATTAAACTACATAGAGGGGAACACGTTGAAAGTATTTATAGTATGAAAAGATAAGAAAAGGGGATAAAAATCTATAAAAGAAAGGTTATAGGATAAGTACGAAAGAAGTAATTTGTCCTAGGAAAATAAGATATAAAGAATAGAAATCTTTTAAAAAAGAAATGATAAAACTATTCTAAAAGTATAAAATCATAAAAACCTGTGAACTCACCAACATTATGTTGACGTTTTCAAAACCCATGTATTCTTAGGGAAATGCGTAGTAGAGTCAGTGGAATGTTGAAGGAAGTCAACAAGTGGCTGATGGAAGTCTTATTTGTTCTCCTATTGTTAGTTTATGATTAGGAAGTGTGCTTGGAAATTAAACAATGTAACATATTAATATTAATAAATAAAAGAAATGTTTGTATTATATTGTGTGTATTGTTATACTTGCCTTCATGATCCAATGTCCTAACGTCGCAAAGCTAGGCATTTCCACCGCCGGTCAGGGGATGTGACACTTTGTGCTTCCGGTTTTATGTTTAAATGTTTCAGTTACTTCTATTTCGAAAGGGAAGCCCCCGATTTGATCACACTGCATCCCCCGAAGTTTTATTCCACATTATTTTTATGATTTACTCAGATGTTTGAGAATACATTACACTATGGATGACAAATACGTACCACGGAGAACCAACCAATATGTTACCAACCAAACCAATAAAATGGTCGCCAACTTGTTTGGTAGCCAATATATTTGGCCGGTAATACCGTACCAATTAAGTAGTCTTGGTATGGTAGCGGTATAAGATTTTGAATACCACGGTTGTACCATACCAACCAATATATATATATATATATATATATATATATATATATATATATATATATATATATATATATATATAAAGTCTTTGGATTTACGAATACACTTGAGAATTGACAATTCTTTTTATACTTATTAATCTATTATATTTTGAGCACGAGATTGGCAATTCCTATTTTACCTATATTTTTTAATACCAAAAAGGCAAAAACCAACGTGATACTAAAAGAGTTGGATTAAAGAAAGGATTAAATGAGTATTAAAAGAAGCGACGACCATTAAGTCAATTTTATCTTACATTCACATTTAGGTTAGTTTCTCACCCTCTCGTTCCCCCTTCACAGAACAAATTTCATATTCTCCTAATTCTTCTCTAATCGGCAATTACAAACCCTCTCGTTCCCACTTCACAGACCAAATTTCCCATTCTCCTAAATTCTTCTCTAATCGGAAATTACAAGTTGTCAATCAACAATGGCTGCTTCTCGGGTACTCAGTTGTTGAGTGTTGTCCGCCGGCCATCACCGCCACCCCCATTGGCTTCATACACATCCCCTAATCGATGATTGAGGTTTGGTCTAACGTCTTCTGAATATTGTAGGTTAGTTTTCTTTCACAAGTTCACTTCTCATTCCCTATTTCAGGTTATTTGTATTTCAAAGTTTCCTTCCCCATTAACGATTTCTCTTACAGTGGGCTATAATTTCGTATTTATCTTTATGTTTGTGTGTAAATCATTTATTCCATTAGGTATTTTGTTTTTGTGTGGAATGATTTTTATCTTTGTGATTTTGTGTTATGCGTTTCTACTCTTAGGTAATTTGTGTTTTGTTTATATGCAGTTTATCATTGGTCTATGGAACCACAAGGTGTGCAAGGTGATAGTGAGGGTTGTATGCCATCTCCAACATCATCAATTACATGTTCCAGAAAACGAAAGGAGCCTGCTAACAAAAGTCGTTTGTGGCCATTTTTCACAAGGTATGTGATTGAAGGTTCAGATGTAATAGATCCAACTTGGTGCAAATGTAACACTTGTGATGAAAGAGTATTGTGTGATCAACAAAAGAACGGGACTAGCTCAATGTGGGCACATACTCAGAAATGTACTAAACACCCATTGCATGTAAACATTGATCCCACACAATCTAAGTTGTGCAAAGATAATATCAGTAGAGCAACGGGATACCACAAATACAATAAGAAGAGGTGTGATGAGAGGTGTATTGATATGATTATCATAGATGAACTTCCATTCAGGTGTGTGGAGAAGGTTGGATTTAAAGCATTATGCAAAGAGTTGGAACCTAATTGGACTCCACCAGACAGGAAACAAGTTGCTAAGGGTGTGTTGGATAAGTACAATTTGGAGAAGAAGCTTTTGTTAAGTGAACTAAAGGCAAGTGGTACGCGAGTTTCTATCACTACCGACACTTGGACATCTATACAAAATATTAACTACATGGTTTTAACTGCTCATGTTTTGGACACTGACTGGAAGCTGCACAAAAGGATAATTAATTTTTGTAATATTACTAGTCATAAAAGTGATGATATTGGGAGGGCAATAGAGAAATGTTTGAGGCAGTGGGAGATTACCAAAGTGTTTACGATAACAGTAGATAATGCAAGTGTTAATGATGTGGTTGTGGCGTACATGAAAAGAAGACTTACCGGTTACAAGACACTAATGTTTGATGGGGACTTTTTGCATTTAAGATATGCATGCCACATCATTAACTTGATAGTGAAGGATGGTTTGAAGTAGTTAGAAGGTGGGTTTGCATCAATATGGAACTGTGTGAAGTATGTTAGGAGTTCATCACAAAGACTGGACAATTTTAGGGAGTTTGCTATTTGGAACAAGGCAAGGCAAATGCTAATGTTCCATTAGATGTTGTCACTAGATGGAATAGCACATATCTTATGCTTGAAGCTGCACTTAAATATGAGGCTACTTTTAAAAGAATGGTTGATGAGAATTGCGCATTCAAGAGTTATTTTCAAGAAAAAGACAAAGCTGGGAAGGTAAGGGTTGGACTCCCATCTGATGATGATTGGAGGAATGCAGAAGCCTTTTGTGTGTTTCTAAAGAAGTTCTATGAAGCTACTTTGAGACTTAGTGCATGGAAATCAGTCACTTCTAATATATTGTTTGTGGAAATGATTACTTTGCAGATCGACATCGATAAGGCAATGCTTTCAGAAGATCCTGTTACGAAGAGGGTTGCAACTTCTATGAAATCAAAGTTTAACAAGTATTGGGGAAGTTTTGAGTCAATTAATAAGATTGTCATGATTGCTAATGTTCTTGATCCGAGATACAAGTTGCAATGCGCAAAAATAGCTTTGAAGAAGGTTAAGGCAAGTCATCTATTAATTGAGTCGATAGAAGGGGACTAAAAGAGAATATTGATGAAGATGTATGATCAATATAAGGAGGTTGAGAGTAGGGGGCATGAACACCATTATCACTTTGTTGTTGAAGATTTAGGAGTAGATGATGATGAACTAGATGGACTTGATGAAATCAGCAAGGAGATAGCAAAAGAAAGGATGTCACAGCAATCACAATGCATAATGAATAAGGTTGACCAATACTTATATGATAGGTATATCAACATTCTTGCTAAGAATTTTGAAATTCAGAAGTGGTGGAAAGGTAATGAGTCAACATATCCAATTCTATCAAAGTTAGCTAAAGATATCTTCGATGTACCTTCCTCAACAGTATCTTCAGAGAATGCATTTAGTTTAGGTTCACGGGTGGTGGATCCATTCAGATCTTCATTGACACCAAAAACAGTTGAAGCCCTTGTTTGTACATCTGATTGGTTACGCGCCTCTCCTGTTAACTTCAGCTTATACGAAGATCCAAATGAGGATGCCTTGAAGATTTACTATGAATTAGAAGAACTTGAGAAAGGTAAGTTTCTATCTATATTATTCTTAGGTAGTGTTTCTTTTTTCATTGTTGAGTATTTTTTGTAATTGTTTTTTTCCTGTTGAGTATTTACTGATACATGAAATACAAAATGAAAACTAAAAACAATTAACTTACCACTTAGTTAATATCTCCTTTTTTGTTACTTTCTTTGTAGATAATGTTTACAATCAAGGGGGTGAGGCAGCTGGGAACGCTACAAGCTAGTATATAACAACACGAATGGCTGAATGCAGTTGCTTTATTTTGTAGATATTGTGTATAAAGTATAAACAATAACAAATCCCATGGCAGTTTTTTGCTTATTTTGTTTCTGAGTTTGGAAAACTTTATAGCCATTGGGTAGTTATTATAATGTAAAGCCTTATATATCTTATCAAGTCTAAAACTCATCAAATATATAGTTGTTAAAATTTTTTGGTATATACCAATACCAATATGTACCAACCAAATTTGTTGGTAGCCAAGTAAGTTGGTACCAAGTATACTTGGTACGGTACTGGTAATCAAATTCTTCAGCCAACTATAGTTTGTACGGTATATGGTTTGGAGGAAAAAAACTTGGTACCGTACCAATTCCACCCCTACATTATACTATGATTATCTTTTAAACAATTGAATGAATGTTTTGGGTTGTTTAAAAATGGAAATTTTCACTTGAATTTTTTGGGACGTTACAAACCCAAATCCTTCAAGTTAGACCCAAGGTCAAACTGGTCAAAAAAGAACAGTTAACAGTCAGCAAGCCAACAGCCACCACGTTGTGGCTAGTCCTTGGTCGTGTCGTGGCTAAGTCCGGACAAAACAGTCGCATTGATGTGCACCACCACTCCATGGTTTCGTTCAGAATGTTATTTCTTCATTAAGAGATTAATCCTTTCAGATCAAAGCTCATAACTTCAGATCTGGTTCTTCTCGTTGATTTAATAGATAAAGTTTCAAACTTTATCCAATAAGACATCACCATAAAGAAATATCTTGGACCTTAAGCCCATTAAGCTCTCTAAAGGCTAATACTTTGTGCATGGGTTTAAGAGAACCCAAGTAAGGACCTTTTTCTCCCTTAAGAGGAGTCCAAGAGCCTAGAAAGTGTCATAACAAGCTCTAGATTTCCTCAACTCCAGGAACATCCATAAAAGGGACCAAAACCAACCATAATGAACTTAAACTTGCATCTAGAAGAACTAATGGTCAATGTATGAACTTTATACCTCAAATGACTCAAAAATCTAAAAAAAGATGATGGATCTAAGCTAGTTCCTTGCTTCTCTGCATCAAAATGGAGTCCTTTCCTCCTCAAGATTCACTAAAACTAAAGAACAAGCTCACAATCATGCATGGAGGCTAGGATTTCGTGTTGGGGAGGATGGAGGCTGAAGAGGATGCTATAATCCATGAGATAATTCCTTTAAATATGGAAGAAACACTAAAATATTGGGCTTGGGCAGCAACACCAACCACGCCGTGGCCATCATCTCGCCACATCGTAGCGACCAGCCATACACACCCTCCATTTAACAAACGTGTCATGTCGTGGTCATTAGCCTACCACGTCGTGGCACACATGGGCCAACAAGCCCAAAGTCCGAATTAAGCCTAACTTCACTCTAAGCCCAAGGTCTTAACACCTAGCCCAAGAACCTTATTCCTTAAGGTCCAAACTCAATCCTTTGAGACCTGGGGCCTTTTCTATGTCAATTACCGCCTGATCCTTTAATTAAAGATTGCCTCGAAACGGGATGTTACACTATTATACAATTGATAACAATGATAGCCGGTTACCAACCCACGCGGAGTCCACGTCACCAATTGTGTCCACGTAAGCGATGGTATAATAGAACCGAAAAAAAAAGTTTGTTGGTCAATTGGATACAATTATATAAGTTTAGTGACTTAAAAAGCAAATAAAATGTTATTGGTTGCCATTTTTTTTTGACATTTTCATTGAAAATATTAAAAAACTTTTAGACACCATTTATATCCAAAATCTTCGATTTTGCCTCAACTTACATGTATTAAAAATATCCAGACCAACCATAAGACAATAAGATCTTTTTCAACAAGAAATTTTAATTTGCTTCTAACTTCATTGTTAAACCCATATAACAATTTCTAAGACTTAACAATTTATATGTAGTGGATTGTTTGGGAGTTTTTTTCAAATTAGCTTATTAGCTTATTGGCTTTTTAAAAAGCTAATAATTTAAAAAAGTATTTGGGTTGTTCAAAAACTTCCCCAAACCATGAGATCCCAATTACAATTGTTTTCAAAATTCATATCAATTACAATTTTATTTCAAATCATCAGAGTGTCCCATAAAACGCCCGAGAGAGAGTGCACGCTGTGCCATCAAGCCTTGCCCTTGCCCTTGGGCTCAGATGTACCTGAAACAAATCCACAAACTGTAAGCTAATGCTTAGTGAGTTCCCTAGAGCATACCCCACACACAATCCACATAACACATATCATATTAGCTATGAAAGCTACATATATCACATAAGCCATGCATACAACATATAAGGAAGCCATGGAAACCCTCCAGGGTCTTACACCTAGTGCCACTGGAACCCCCACGTGGTCTTAACTACCTGCCATGGGAACCCCCCCCCCCCCATGGTCTTCCTGACATGGGAACCCCCACATGGTCTTCTCTACCAAGCAAATACAATACAAACTAAACAGTCAATGTTGACCTCAACTCGTCGAGTGCATCCTAGCAACTCGTCGAGTTCCTCACGAGTCCAATCCGTTAAATCCATGTCAACTCGCCGAGTCACTTAAGTGACTCATCGAGTTCATCAAATGTCCAGAAAACTAAAAGTTCATGCAGTCCCAAAACCCTAATCCTTCACTGCACTCATTCAGAATCTCGAAAACGGGTAAACCCTACCCGACTCGTCGAGTCAACTAAGGGACTCGACGAGTTCCTTCAGTCTCATTTGTGTTCAGCCCTTTTCAGTGGGATCTAAGGTCCCAAACTTCATATCCACCTTTCCCTAGTGCAGTTACCACGTAAAGTTGCAAACTTTACGTGCATGCAAGGCCTCACAAAGCTAAAACATCAAAACTAAGCTCCCTACAAGGTTTTTGTGCATGGAAAGGGTCTAAGTCGGATAAAGTGGGCAACTTTATGTCATTGGGACCTAGAGAGGTCCAAATCTGGAACCATATCCTTGTGATAAGTCCACCCCATTTTGCACCAAAAATAGCCATTTACTTCCAAGAAAAGAGATTTAAGCAACTAGAGATCAAGGTAACGACTTTATACCTCAAGATGGCGGCCAATACAGAGTAGATGTCGGATCTACTGCTTATCTCCTTGCTCCTTCTTCTTCAAGCTCCAAAATCCTTCATAACCACACCAAAATTGCTCACAAAAGCTCTCTCTCTCTCTCTCTTACTCAAGAAGGTGCAAGGTCCATTTAGGGTTTTCTCTGGCTAATAAGGTGGTAAGGGAGGGCACAAGAGGCGGATTATGTTCTTTAAATAGGGTGAAAACCCTAAAAAATAGGGTTTTCTTTTACAACGCCCACTCGTCGAGTCGGGGCCTTCTGACTCGTCAAGTAGGATTTAAAATTCGCGTCCTCGTAATAACTTCTACTTGACGAGTTGGAGCTCCCCAACTCCCCGAGTCCATGCACAAAACCCTAAAAATTAGATAAATTAAATAATACCTGGAACAGGTGTTACAAATCTCCCCCACTTGAACTAGACTTCGTCCTCGAACACTACTGGCCCAAATAAGTCCGGGTAGTGGTCTCGCATCTCGTCCTCCGGTTCCCATGTCCATTCGGAGCCCCTTCGGTGCTGTTATTCCATCTTTACTAACTTTACTTCCTTGTTCCGAAGGACCTTGGTCTTCCTGTCTAGAATCGCAACGTGCCACTCAATGTAGTTTAGTCTCTCGTCCACCTGAATGTCGTCGAAAGATACGACTGCGGGCTCGTCTGTGATACACTTCCGAAGCCGTGACACATGGAAGGTGTTGTGAATCTGGCTAAGCTCCTCTGGCAGATCCAAGCGATAGGCCACCTTGCCCACCCGGGCCGTAATCCTGAACGGTCCAATATATCAGGGCCCTAGCTTGCCCCTCTTCTGAAACCTGATGACTCCCTTCCATGGCGATACCTTTAGTAACACAAAGTCCCCCACCTGGAACTCGAGATCTGATCGCCGCTGGTCAGCATAGCTGATGACGGCTCTACGCGACCCGCAGACGGTCGCGCACCTGCTGAATCAGCCTGGTAGTCTTGAGCACTACCTCAGTGCTCCCCATGACCCGGTGTGTAACACCCCGTTTATTTAATAAATAAATAAATAAAATTAATGGATGAAAAGTAGCCCTAAAACCCATGATATTTATCGGGGTGTTGGTTTCGGGGAGTCGGATGACATGATTTAGAGTTTCGGGGGTTAAAAGTGTAAGTTTCGGATTGGTTTCGTAAATATTTATGAAGACAGGGACTACTTGGTAACTTCTGGGACTTCATTTGAAGAAATTTTGGAGTCTATGGGTCTGTTTGGTAAATTAAGGATTGGATTTGAAAGGAATTTCCGAAGCCAGGGTAGAAAGGGTGAACTATGGATTTGGTTTGAAAAGATTTTTATAAGGAGGGACCATTCCTGCCATTATGGGATGAAGATTGTTAGGGTGGCGGGTATATAACTGTTGCATTGCCCTAACCCTAAACCTTGATACAGCCGCCATCAACGGAAGTCCTCCAGTCGGCATGCGTGAAGTCGGCCGCCACCACCTCCCTTTTGTTCACTATTCCGATCAAACGGGGACGCCTGCTGCCTCGCCATTGAGCACCGCCGACTGCTACACTATCGTTGAAGGTCGCCATTGCGACGCTGCTGCCGGAGAAATGCCGAGGGTCGATGAAACCCGCTGTGCTGTCATTGTGCAAGTCGTGAACCATCGGGAATGCACAGTGGGTGTTGGGTTCTTTTCCGAGAAAGGACTAGCTGGAGTGTGCGTTTTCTGGCGAGGAGTCGCGAACCGACATGGGCGGCTGCCAAACGCCATGACCGCCGCTGTGACGCTGTTGTTGCTGTTGGACGCCATGTTGCTATTGCTGTCGGACCTCTGTGCGCCACCTGGTGGGTGGCTGGGGTTGTTTTGTGAACATATAGAGTGTATATTTTTGCTATGAGTGGGTGTTGTTTGAGGGTTTGTTGGCCGGAAAATCAAGGAAGCCACCGTCACCACGTGCCACCGCCGACCACCATTAGGGTTGCTGTGTGTGTGTTTATGTTAGTTAGTGTGTGTGTTTATTTTTGGATTAAAGCATTGTAATTGTAATTAGCAAAAGAATAATGAAAAGAAGCTAAAAAACCACCACCGTAAGGTGGTGGCTGCCGCCGTGAGCCGCCGTTGACCACCACTACCC